ATCCCAAAAAGGGATTGGTCAACGGCAAACGCTTATTCCTTTTATTTTTTTTACAAAAGTTTTAGTTTTCTTACTTTTACTAGTGCACCCATCGCTCAGTACTTTGGATTTGGATAGCAGAAAGTCATTCGACTGCGCACGACCGCGCGTCAGGTCCTAATTGCATGGTAGATCTGCGCGACATTAACACTCATCCCTTTCCGTCGGCGATCGGCAAAAGTTGAACATATCACACTAGAGAGAAGAGTTTAGCTGCGGAAGGGAAATGCTGTATGTAAGTGGCCAGCATGATTGATATATAATAGTACGCGTAACTTGCATAATACACTGCGTTTCATAAATATAGGTCCACCCTAATTTTTGCTATTCCAAAGTTGCTGCGCATTTTTGGGAAATGCCGCTATTACCAATAGTTTCCCCATAACGAAAAACCTTGATACTCGATTTTTGGAGAAATCTCGATTCAGAATTATTAAAATATCTTTTTAGAACGTATTTTGAAATATCTTTTTTAGAACGTATTTTCACCGTTTCGCAAATATGACTACACATTACTTGTCGAAAGATTTTATTACAACAAAAAAACGTAAAAAAATTTCAATAATGTGGTGGTCCTCCATTAGTCATAAGAAACACAATAATACGTTTTGGAATGCTGGTAACCAAATTAGCTATTACAATAGGATCGAAATTTGCCTGCGCGCTGATGATCGACGTTTTCAGCTCTTCGGCTGTTCCATTTTGCTTTTCTTTGCTGTGGAACTTTATAACAATTAAGGCCCTGTGATTCTCTATTGGAATCTGATTCAGATAACATGGTGGCCACCAGATAACTGCCACATTTTTTCCTGCACTTCCATCTGGCGTGGAAGGACCGGCATGGACAGCTGCGTTATCGTGCGTAAAAATCAAGGTTCGAGAGGGCTGTTGTCGAAAAAATGGTAAGAAGTCGCTTCGAAGGAACTTAGCGATACCCAGGATCCTCGGAAAGAAAAAATACGGCTAGCCGCCTCAGTCGTTGCAAAGGTGCTAAACCACAGGAAGTTCTCGGCCAAATTGACCTGTACTTCGAACCATTCTTGCGATTCCGGAACTCTGTACTATTTCCATCAGATCCACTTAGAATAAACTTTTTCACGCCGATTCCAGATCACCCGTAGCATGAAACGAGGAGGTGGAGTCCAAGATCACGAAGGGTCCTGGCAGCCACACCTTCGTTCATTAACTTGAGCCCTTTTCCACCTAGAAATGGAGACGTGCGATCTTGTAGCGCTCAAATAATCTTGGAACGCGCTTCATCAATCCGCTGAAGATGTCATTGCTCTGCTGGCTTATTCACAACACGGTGGTTTTGCTCACGGAAGGCCGCATTTCAGCACGGACTTTGTTCGGACGCCTTATCCAATTCGACAGAAGACGCCCAATTTCCTCTTGATTTTCAATGAAACGCTGTCATTATTTACGTACTAACTTCGCATACCGCACAGACCGGGATTTCGCACATAGTTGCTTATGCATCATGAGCCGGCCGACATGGGAGGCAGTTCTGCTTCTCAGCCATCAAACTTCAGTAAGGGCTCTGGTTTGAGCTTATCACTGGGAAGAGATACGAGTAATACGAGGTATGGCAAACTCGACGTCGACTAAGCTCACATATATCCCCGCTTCCCTCATTCCCTTCACGGATCATGAGAAATGGAAACTTTTTATTAGTGGCCCGATTTTCATGAAACGGTGAAAATTCGTTCTGAAAAAGTTAGTTGGGTTACTTGAGGGGGAACTTTGTCAGAAAAACACTATGAAGGTTTTCCGTGATGAGGAATCTAACGTGTGATAGCAGCATTTTCCAAAAAATGCACAGCAACTTTGGGGTAGCAAAAATTTAGGGTGGACCTATAATTATGAAACGCAGTGTATATTATTGCATCTTGCCCCATTCTATCCATTTTTTTGGCAAGCGGGTTTGCCTATCGCTTTGGCATAGCGACATGTGATGGCGCATTCAAGAGATTTGACGCATCATCAACTTCTGCTTTGCGTTATGATATATTCGCATTACTGCGTTTCCCTTGTAAAGATTCGATTCTTGATGATTGTTAGCCAAGTCGGCAGCCTAAAATCTGAACCACTTAATCTAGTTCCTTGCAAAGAAAATGTGATGTTGTTATTATCAGGGATTGTGTTTCCATTTTTGATATGATATATTGAACAAAAGCGGAGCCCAAAGGGTGTCCAGTCGATAAAAAGGACGACATTTTTTCATACTCTCAAACTTTGGAAAGAGATCGTGACTAATGGCAAGCACGGAGATTAAATCAATCATGCAATCTCCGTGCTCAATCACGACCTCTTTCCAGAAGTTTTTCAGTGTCTTGGCAGTAAAAACCTTCGATACTAGATTCGAGAATCGGCCGCGGTAAGTGGTCAACCCTCGAATTCTGGCGAGAATTTGAAAAAAAAACGACGTTGACTGTTTAAAATACCGACATCGGAACGTCATGTTGTAGGTCATTGAAAGTGAAGGGCACCACTTTATGGATTTCTGATGGAAAATCGAATTGAGAGTAGGTCATCTGTTTAGGTGGGTTTTGTCGACAGGTTCCCATTTTGATAGACCTTAACACGGCGACATCGCGCGTTTTGGGTTTTGCACCGCGTGGGACAAGGGCGCTTTGCGAGCGCGGCCGTCAACACCTCACACCCGTAAATTTCGAACGATAAGCTTGGGAAGTTTCAATATACGAAACCATTTCAGCTATATTTAATGCTAGATGTAATTGAAGATATGTAGCGAAGTTCGATCAAAAATGGGGAAATATTAAATGAAAAGTGGAATTTAAGTCCTTTTCTCTGTAGTGGATACCAAAACTATTTTCAATGCGGATGTATCAAGTTTACCATATATCTTTTTATCCCTTTAGGTTTGTAGTTACTTTCGCTACCTTTTTCCACTGTGACATGTTAATCAGAATAGGAAGAAAAGAAAGCGAGAACGATGGCTGCCAATTCTTCTGTCTTAAATAAATTTGCTAATTGGCATATTTGGTATACGTAGACCCGTGTCGTTTACAGGTTATGTTTATGTTATTAATCCGTTAGGATAGGAACAAGCAGTTGGAGGAGAATCCTGCGTACTGCTTAGGAAAAGGGGTGACTAATGGTTGAGACGCGCAACCGCGTTTTCAATGCCAACGAGTGTGGCAAAGTGGAGACGCCCGTTATCGGGTTCAATGTCGCTCAGTGCTGTTAAGGCATATCCCAGGATTAGACTGGCTTGGTTCATGCACACGAATATAAAAGTATTGGTACGAAATGGGCTGAAGGACAAGGACAAGAACCTGTTGAAAACGCTTAGGTTAGGGCTCCTTCACTTTCGTAATGTCGGCTATGCTAAGGCAATGAAAGACTGAATGCGGAGAGGAGAGTATGCGGCCAGCGAGCACAGCAGATGAGAGAGTGTTAGACAATAGCCTGCTGCGGACGGGGTCATTGCAGTTGCTGCCGCAACTTTTGCAGATTCTCCTAGCATTCGTCGGATAGTTTCCATGTTACGCAGTGCAAGTGTAGTATTGACCTCTATGAGAGCTATCCTACGGCGACGAAGTTATTACGGCACACGGGTGCTGCATGGGTTGGGCTTTAACTTCAACATATTATATGACCTATGAACTGAAAAGAAAAAGGAATGAAGCGAGCACACAGAGTTGTTGAGCACATGGATTGGTCTCCAACAGGCATGAGGTTATTCAAGAAGAAAGGTATCTTTTGAGTTAGAAAATCACTATGTATGCTATACGAAGTTGAATAAGAGCAATAGGCTTATCAGACAACACCATAAATGGAAGGACCTTTCTTCACACTTCATAATCTGCCAGTTACCGGTTTAAATATGGAGCTCTTGATCTTCTTCAGAACTGTCACATCTATTTTGGCGGGTGGGGTGGGGGAGGGGGACATCGCGGCGCAATTTTCATTACGATACGGGGAATGAAATTTTCCACAGGAGGCGGAGGCTACAGGGAGGACGGGCCGATTTGCTGTGCGAGAACTGAACGAAGCTTGTATTAAGGGGAAAATGTTTGTCGTGATTGAAGGCCTTAGTGTTCTGCGCTACAAGCTCCAACCCCCCCCCCTCCCTCCCGCCTACCTAGACTTGGGCCTTGTTTCGTTCTAAATTTTTCTTACAAATTATTTATCTTCGTGTAACTAGTCAGGTCGGGACTAACAAAGAACTTGATTTCAGCGATTTGTTCACTTTCTGCGTTCATCGTCTACACCTATTTCAACGAACTGAAAGATAATCAGAACGAAACCTTAAATGGAAATATCACACGGGTACGTTCTTCCTTGCAAAGGCATTTGGTCTCAGTCCATCAAAACCACCTAATTTCAGTACCACTTCGGATGGGCGTACTATTGGTGTGGAGGGAGCTGCCGCATGTCTGTCAGCTGCATTCATCTGTAGTCTCTTCGCCTCAACTTGTGTGTTATTGCACAAGCAACAGAAGAACAAAGTGGACACCATCAACCTGTGATCATTCATTCTCATACGATTTTCACTGCTTTCTGAGCTGTTGTTCTCTACTGCTCAGTTATTTCACTTTGTGCAGTTGTTATTTTGTCATATCACGAGGCGAAAACATGCCCAATAGCTCTTTCCAGCCAAATGGCCCAACATTCCGAGTGATCTGGGTGCCTTCACTCACTCCAATTCTGCTACTATTCCACGAAAGTAATTGTTGGCAAGAGAATTGAAATATTTATGCAAAAAAGACGATTGACAGCACAAAGACTTTTTTAATAGTATAACAAGACAATTATCCAGAAACAGATGATAGCATATAGGAGGAAACCCGAGACAGTATCGATAAAACAACAACAGCATTTGGCCACTACTGAAGAAAGCTACATTCGAACTAAAATAATGACTAGCGCCGGTCATGAGGGTGCATAAGGACAGCTGCTTTACCATATATTTTAGCCCTTCCGGACGAGACTCATTAATTGGTCTTCTTGCTAGCGTCGACTTTCTTCGCCTTCTCCTTTTCGTGCTTATCAGTCAAATGTTCTTCGTCATAATTCCATAACTCCTGAAAATTCAGCACTTCATGCAGTGATCATCTAACAAGCTTGCTTCTAAGATCTTTGTCGCCAAAATATCTAAGCGATCGCGATCGCTCATCGCTCGGCACAATCGCCGAGTCTGATGGACATTTGAGATATGTTTGGCGACAAAGATCTTAGAAGCAAGCTTGTCAGATGATCACTGCATGAAGTGTAGCGAACGATGAGCGATCGCGACCCCAACACGCTCGGTCCCCAAGCCCCAAGAGAAGCACCAAGTCAACTATCAGCTGGACTCACTAAATGTTTAGATTACAGGATTATATCACAGGTCTAGCACTATCAGGAAAAACGTTAAGATAGGAGTATTGGCGCACTCGAACCAATAGCCAAAGGACCAAGGAAGCGAGATGTGGCGATTCCGAAGCGAAAGATGAGGTGCCCTCCTTTTCAGAAAAAGAGAAGAGCGTCGGGTGCAGACCATACACCACAAGTGACGACGGCCTCCAAGTAAATCTGGTTAGTAGTGGTTCATAGTGATAGCTGATTTTTGGTAAATGATAGTTAATTAGTGACAACTGATAGAATACAACTGCAACAGGCTAATCATTTCATTGGCAGAAAACATTTACATTTTGTGGAGGCCGTCGTCACTTGTGGTGTATGGTCTGCACCCGACGCTCTTCTCGCTTTTTGAAAAGGAGTATATTTCGATCGCAGTGAGGCTCCAAAGTTCAAAATCGTGACTCCCCACAACGCCTCATCCATTAGTATAGTTGGGCGAGCTGTGTTGCTAGCAAAGGCATCGTGCGCTTCCATTTCAAAAAGGGAATTTCACTTTAAGCGGTCACATCTTCTAACTTGTCTGTATAATGCATTATCAATCGGAATGTGATGTTTGTTGGCATGACACCGACCACAGGAGTTGGAAGACCGAACGACCTCTTCCTTGGCCGCCGCTCATCCATGGTCGATAATGGACGGAATAAGGTGGTCGTATTTTGCGTGTTCTTAGCAGGTTTTCTGATTTTCTTTTCGCCACTGCCGCTCTTCTTAAAACTGAATTCGCCCAGAACCCTTCATAATCGCTGCCTTTAAGGTTGCCCTTCAAAACATTCCTCCTAGTGCTACTCAGAAAAGCGCATTAGTCATATAATATAAATCCGTTTGCTATCCAAGAGCCGTCGACAATGAATAAAGGTCGAAGGAGTAGAGCAGGAAGAGGTTGGTGAATGCCGTGCAACTCATTATTAGACTTTTGATGAAGAGGAATTCACATTACAACGTCCGACTATGTGATCTTTGTCCTACGGTTTTCTCATTGCCCAGATGTGACGCCGAGCAAGAGCATATGAAGCTCTACATGCGATGAGTCGATTATGCATCACACTTCATAACTGTTTAACCTACGACCATCTAACATGCCAGCAGCGGGTAGAAAATTTAAGCGGTTTTTTGTATTTTAAGCTGACAACACAAATGCCAGCATGCGTAGATCTTGCTTCTAATTCTGATGTTGTAAAAGTAACAGTTCCTTACTGAAATCATGTATACACGCTGGATGAGAGCAGCATTGAAGGTTGAAAAAAAACCAGCTAAAATTTTCCCAAGAAGAGCACAATTTCACGCAGGAGCTGTAGAAATTTTAATCGAACAGCACAGTAAACTACATAAACACTATCTACATACATTAACGGGCATAATACTTTGTCAAAGATTGGCTGTACAGCCAGCGGATCCGAATAAATGACCCTCACGCTACTCGGGCATCTCTCCAAAGCTTTCTTTAAAGCAGACGTGCTTTTCTCAATTATTCCGCAGCTATCAATATTTCGATGCATAAAGGCCTTCGTAGCTCATTCTATTGTGGTTCGGAAATGTTTGGGTCAGCCAACTGACCTGGTCACTCTATTTACGGCAACCACGCAAAAACCATTAATGCACGGCGGGGCGCCATGTTTTGTTGAGTCGTTGTCTTGCTGAACGGCAAACTCAGCCCTATGCGAGTGCTATGCGTACGAGGAACAACATATAAGATCGACACGCACACTCATCCTATTCATCACTTTCAACCCCCTGGAGTGTTCCCCACTTCTTTTTCGAACAGCCATCAACCGATTCCACGTCATATTCACGGTTCGCAGTTTAGTGAAAATCGGACCGTTTTCCGTCGGCGCGCCGTTCATGCCTAGCACGTCAAACACGATAGATTTCTCGTCGCTCCCAGATGAGGTTAGAACGCTACATGATGTCTATTCCAGACATGGTAATTAATGCGGATATGCAAAAGCAGATCCTAGATGTCGTGTGCTGCTAGGAGATCGGTCTATTCAGTAGTTGCTGAAATGACTGGACACGTTCAGTGACTCAAAAATGATCTGATGAGAATTTTTCGACCTGGCATAACCTGCAGATTCTCCTGTATCACGCTGCCACTCTTTCAACGATCAATAGCTTCCTCATGGACGATATTGAACAAATATGAAAAGCAGCTTTAGAAATCACAATTTTTCTATTTTCTAATCAGTTCACCTTCCTGCTATTTCAAACAGCTGCTTCAGAGAACCTCGTGAGTCTTCGAACTAACATCACCATTGCAGGCGACGGCTATCAAAGCGCATAGCATTGTTTGAAATCGCTCAAGGACGCGCTGTGAATTCGAAGCTAGCGACTACCATCCCAACCTCTCCCAACAAGATTACCGCTGTTCTGATCGCTACTGATCCCTGCAGTTACGATCTACTCCCTCGAACTGGACTTAGGACGACCCCGCCCGCTGTGCGAGAATTCGGCTAAGATCCTAAAGAATTCCTTCCACGCTTGACAATGTTTAATTGCAAGCTTTTTGCAATAATTTGAAATCGCTCGTAATCGTGCCCTCTTGGGAAAATTGCAGCAGAACAGCAGATATTGTTCCTATCTCCGATCCTGCTCTTAGCCGACGTGCGTATGTTTAAGTATATTTCACTCATAACCATGGCCACCTCTACAAGAAGAAACACATTAAAATCTGAGCAAAATCCATTGATAACTGGTAATGAAGATGACCGGCATTACGTGCCAGATAACAACAAAAACCGCACATATTTTTTCCGTTAACGTAGATACTGCGCTCAATGCGAACACAATTTGAAACTCCTCACAACTTTGTGGAAAAAAACCTTTCACCACTTCCAATCCACTAGTGACTAAGGCACGAAACCGAACAAACCTTCGCTCTCCTGTCAGACAGAACAGCAAACAGGGTAGCCCCAAAGGCAGCACGGGCAACTAGGTACAGTAACGCAGGCTGCGCAGCCTAAAACATATTTTGAGCATTTCAAACCAAGCGCGTAAATTACAGATTAACAAAACCTTGAAATGGTGCATGACTAGCATGGTGATCAGGAGACCAACTGCATAAGCTATAACTGTGATAGAGAAGAAGTACCTAAACGAGGGCATGGTAGTGATAAAACGGAGGTATTTAATTAAACTGGAGTTTGCCGCCCGGTAACGTTGTGGAAGAGCTAAATTGATTTTGCCTTTCTCACCGTCCTCCTTGCTTCTTTTTTGTATCCTTGTCGCCTATCCTAAGATCAAATCTTCTAAGAAGAGCGATAAATATTCCAGGAATGACAATATCGCCAAGACCTCAAAAAGATGCCTGATACAGACGAATATTTTTTGAGCAGAAAAAAGAAACACAGCTCGTGACTAATGACTAAATTTCTTTTTAAAAGTTACCTAGCATGCTATGCTTGCTGGCGTCTTTCCAGCCATGTCTGAGAATGTCTTGAGGAAACTGCAGAAGAATTGGCGCATCGATTCCCTTTGCAACCGATGTCATGACGTCTGTAGCGAATACCCAAAACACATCGTAGATGAACAGTCCGACAAGAAGAAGAGATCCAGCCTAAATATTACAACATCAGGGAACAAGAAAGTTGGAAAGTATACATTAAGTCGAAGCTTCGCCTACCTTAAAGCTACTCAGATGCAGATTTTCAATTCCATAGATAGAAAAGGCTATCCCAATTACGTTGTTCGTGATCCAGTGACGTTGATACATATGGGAAGCAGCTACTAATAGACAAACCGAGATCGCAACTATGTCATGAGTGTCCACTTCGATTTTCAGCAGGTACTCCTAGAATGGGGGACTTAAAATAGCTTTCCTATATCGTGACAAATGTACATTCGCCTCTCCAGCAACATGGATTTTACTTGCAGTGAATCAAGAGAGAAGTTCCAAGATCTTGACAAATGCATAGCTGCCTTTTTCATTTTCAATGAAAACTGCTAAAACATGATACGGGTTAACAAATGAGGTACAAGAGTCAATGTGGAAAGGTTCAGCGAGAGCAAAACGAGTCTATATCAGAAGAAAACACGTGTGGGCTTCTAGAACCTACTGGATTTAACACACTGACGACAGTATGAGGCGCAAGCGCTTCACACTTCTATACGGATGGGCATCTTCTGCTCCATTTGCTTAGTACTGTTCATATTAGAAATCTACCTCTACTGGATCCAGAAAAGGATTACACGATTACAAGTAGCGAAATTACTGATGCTTGATTCGAAAAGAATATTAAAAAAGATGCCGAGAAGCACGCACAACGTGCTGTCGTCAATGTGTTGAACAGTAAGCAAAACACTTTTCATACTGAAAAACAAACCTAAAACCTTACTGTTCGTCTTTTGACAAGCACATTTACTAGTTCATTTGAAAATGCTTGCTCCCTGCTCTCTTACCTACCGGCGAAAGAAATGGAAAAAAAAAAAAAAAAAAAAAAAAAAAAAAAAAAAAAAAAAAAAAAAAAAAAAAAAAAAAAAAAAAAAAAAAAAAAAAAAAAAAAAAAAAAAAAAAAAAAAAAAAAAAAAAAAAAAAAAAAAAAAAAAAAAAAAAAAAGCAGCTGTTACAATGAATTACTCAAAAGTTACACATTATTGCACAGCAAACTTCTGTCTATAAAGGCTTATTCCCATGATGAACCAACTCAAATATTACTTCTTAATATTGGACCTGGACATTTTTGCTTTGGGTGACTCATAACTATCAGAAAGAAAGAAAATTTCGGTGTCGGTTTTGTTTACAGCTGATACATTGTCACACAACTAATAAACTTAATCGAAGCGCTGTGTTCGAACTGGAAACGTATAAATATAATACCACATATGTGAAAATGTGAAAGATGGTAACCCATGCCAATGAGAGGCTACGTTAACTGCGGCAGTACAACTTCAATCCAACAACTCCAACATTAACAGCTACTTCAGTTTGATATGGCCCCGAAAACTACCTTTGCCCACCAATTATACACGGCAACCTTGACCTATCCAGACGCCTAGTCAATTACAGCGAACGCGCAATCGATTAAAAAAACAAAAAAAAAAAAAAAAAAAAAACAAATAGCATGTCGCAAATCGAGCACATGAAGTAAAGGATCGATAAAGTGGAGAATTAACGGTAGCGAAGTAAAAGGTGTACAAACGCACATCAACTAAGCGAATGAAAGCATTCTCTAACTCTGAACATTGTAAAACTTCATGAACAAGAAACGAAGCTCCAACTTATTTGGAATAGGAATAGAGGTTTCAGACAGAACATAAGACGCCTACATAGAGGAGCCGGCTTAAAATTAAAAATAAGCGTGAAACGTCCAACGACAACTTACAAAGTCACTCTTCTTTGCATCCTCAATATCACCCTCTTCCATTTCCTTAGTTCCTTTCTTAATGGACAGAAAATAGGGAATATTGAGACGAGGCCGCCGATTACCTATTGGAAGCAAAGACAGAACGAAAGAGAACAGAGGCTTCAAAAGAGCGGCGAGCGCAACACAACCTGAAACATAAATAGAAGAATAACGTAAACAGCAATGCGAAATCATCAACGAATTACCTTCATAGCAAATTAGAATAAGGAGTAATTTCATTACGTGAGCCTTTGTGACCGATGGAATGTACTCAAGGTAAGGGTGGACATCCTCCGGAAGTTTACTGGCAAGCCTGAACAATCAAAATTGCGGCATATCAAAAACGAAACGAACTTCTGAAATTGTAAAATCTATTTTATTGCCGAGTGCCCATGCATCAAGATATTCCGCAAACCATGACAACAATTTACAAGACTCTAAATTCTCAAAATTTAATCATACCGCGCAAAAAGGCTCGGACCTTCACTTTTTGCAAGAGAGTTGTTTAGCATAGCAGAATATGCCGTGGGAAGATGCCTTCCCCCGAGTCCCATGAGCCACTCACGACCATCCGGCCTGCAAAAACAGTCAGCCTAGCACACGAATATCTTACGAACTTCTCAAATGAATCAATATACATAATATTGTGACCCACTTGAAAAACAAATAAAGTGTAAATAGCACCAAAGAAGCTGTGAAGGGGAACTTTTTCGCTTCAGACATCGATATTGACGCCTAAAACAAATTCGTGAGTTCTAGAAAAATCAAGAGAAATTGCAAGAAAAAATTACCTCTAATGGGCGCTTCTTGAGAATCTGCCTTTTAACGAAATTTGCGGACCGTATCCCACCAACAATTATACATAACAAAGACATTGCATACAGGGAGCATGATGACATCGCCTGAAAGATTAGTAGTAAGCATGGTTTTGATGGTGTTGAACGAATGGCTTGATCATTACAACACCAGATATCTGACCAGCTTAATCCTATTTCTGATGCGCACCGGAACTAATTTCTTATCCCATCGGAACCTCCCACAAAATCTGTTATTTGTGATTGCAGCCACTAATCACAAGTGCAAAGGTGAAAAACCCACACAACTGCGAATCAGGCTAATTCGTAACTTGCGAAGCTCTTGCAGCCTCAACAAAGCCTAGATAAGTATTGAAAGTGTATTGAGGAAACGTGGTTCTGCGAAATCGCACTATCGCAGAACTTCTAGCTATGACACCATGAAGCTGCCTTACTAAGTTTTTCGTTTTTCGCTTCTCACAATGAGAACGGATCTTTTTATTGATCTCACTTTGTTGGCATATGCTAGTGCGACTGCGGTGAAGGGCTCATATGAGGGCCTTGTTTATCAAACTCCCGTCCAAAGGACCTTTCACCACTTTCCATATATCTAGTGACTGAGGCACGAAATGAACAAACCTTCGCTTCTCCTGTGCAGAAAGACACAAACAGTGGTACGAAAAGCAGTCACGGCACTAGGTACAGTAACGCAGGCTGCGCAGCCTAAAACATATTTTGAGCATTTCAAACCAAGCGCGTAAATTACAGATTAACAAACCTTGAAATGGTGCATGACTAGCATGGTTATCAGGAGGCCAACTGCATAAGCTATAACTGTGATAGAGAAGAAGTACCTAAACGAGGGCATGGTAGTGATCAAACGGTAACGTTGCGGAAGAGCTAAAATTGATTTGCCTTTCTCACCGTCCTCCTTGCTTCTTTTTTGTATCCTTGTCGCCTATCCTAAGATCAAATCTTCTAAGAAGAGCGATAAATATTCCAGGAATGACAATATCGCCAAGACCTCAAAAAGATGCCTGATACAGACGAATATTTTTGAGCAGAAAAAAGAAACACAGCTCGTGACTAATGACTAAATTTCTATTTAAAAGTTACCTAGCATGCTATGCTTGCTGGCGTCTTTCCAGCCATGTCTGAGAATGTCTTGAGGAAACTGCAGAAGAATTGGCATCGATTCCCTTTGCAACCGATGTCATTACGTCTGTAGCAAATACCCAAAACACATCGCTAGTATGAACAGTCCGCAAGAAGAAGAGATCCAGCCTAAATATTACAACATCAGGGAACAAGAAAGTTGGAAAGGAATAGTATAATGCCAAGCTTTCGCCTACCTTAAAGCTACTCAGATGCAGATTTTCAATTCCATAGATAGAAAAGGCTATCCCAATTACGTTGTTCGTGATCCAGTGACGTTGATACATATGGGAAGCAGCTACAATAGACAAACGAGACGCAACTTTGTAATGAGGGTCCACTTCGCATGTTCAGCAGTACGTACTCCTTAGAAATGCGGGATTAAATAGCTTTTATATCCGTGAAATGTATCATTGCGCTCGCCAAGAAACCATGGATGTCTTTACTTGCAGTGAATCAAGAGAGAAGTTCCAAGATCTTGACAAATGCATAGCTGCCTTTTTCATTTTCAATGAAAACTGCTAAAACATGACACGGGTTAACAAATGAGGTACAAGAGTCAATGCGAGAAGGTTCAGCGAGAGCAAAACGAGTGTATATCAGAAGAAAACATATGTGGGCTACTAGAACCTACTGATTTAACACACTGACGACAGTATGAGGCACAAGCGCTTCACACTTCTATACGGATGAGCATCTTCTGCTCCACTTGCTTAGTACTGTTCATATTAGAATCACCTCTACTGGATCCAGAAAAGGATTACACGATTACAAGTAGCGAAATTACTGATGCTTGATTCGAAAAGAATATTAAAAAAAGATGCCGAGAAGCACGCACAACGTGCTGTCGTCAATGTGTTGAACAGTAAGCAAGCGTTTCATCCCTGAAAAAAAAACCTAAGCATCCCCATCTTCCTGTTCGTCACCCTACCTTCTGACATGCAATTTACTAGTCCATATAAA